AATCCGTGGTCTGGTGCTGCCGCCAGCACAGGGAGCAGATGCCAGACAAAGGGCCGGGGACAAAGGCCCGGCTGCCTCGTGCCCCAGGGAAGGGGCGCAGGCGCGTGCGGGGCACGGGTGCCGTCCCATCACATCCCAGTGCTGCCACTGCCCCTTGACCCCCCATGCCTGCCAAGCCCCAGTACCCACCTGGCCCCCACCCTGGCTGGCATGGCTGGGGTGCTGTTGTGCACCAGGGGGCCCAGCGCTGGCACTGGTCCTGTGCCACCCCCTTGAGGATCATAGTGAATGCACTGCTCCAGCATGGAGCTCTGCTGCAGCTCCTCTCTGGCTCTGCACCCCCAGCACTGCCCATCTCGGGATGCAATGGGGCTGAGATGGGGTGCAGTGGGGTTGAGATGGGGTGTTGCAGGGCTGCAGAGAGGGAGCAGAAAGCATGGACGGGGCTACAGCAGAATGTGGCAAATGTCAAGCATATATCCTCCCAGTCCCACCATGCCTCAGTTTCCCCAGCTGCTATTGGGGCCCTTGTGAATGTGCCATGTCCCCTCACCATCCCCCTCCCCGTGGCTGCCTTTGTTCCTGCTCCCCCCAGCTGGCTGCAAACCCCCTGTCTGGGGGGCAGCTGCCACAGCACAGGGCTGGGAACACCACTGGTGCTGCCAGGCGCAGCTGGGGCTGTGCCCACCCGCAGGGTCTAGGGGGGCTTTGGGGCATGATGCCAAATGGCACCAGATCCCCCATGGAAAGGGATGGGACATGGTCTCAGCTGAGAGCTACCCAGGTGGGGGGCACTGGCACAGGCAGCACTCCCAGCATGAGGAGGCATGGGCAGCAGGGAGGCGGAGGACTGAGCAAGCACCTTCTATTGTTCTCACAGGATGGGGACACCCCGTGCCTGGGCTGGGGACAAAGCCACAGAGTTGCTGCTGCCTGGAGACCTGGCAGAGTCCTGTGAGGAGATGTGCCCACAGCCACCCTATTCCCAGTGCTTCTTCCTGGCGCCTCAGCTTCTTTGGTTTCGACAGTTCATGCTAGCAAGAGGGGCAGTCCTGGGGTGCACACCCCACTCATGCTGGGCACTGCAGGCTGCAGTAGTCGGCGGATTTGAAGAGGCTGTAGACGTTGACGAGGGGGAACATGACCAATGCCCCAAGGAGGGAGCCCAGCTGCTCCAGCCCCCCATACCACACCAGTGCACTGTGGCTGCGGCTCCGCAGGATCACGCCAGCCATCACCTTCACGTAGGAGAGCGTCCCGGTGAACAGCACCCAGGAGAGGACCTGGCAGCACAGGGGGGAGAGCAATCAGCAGGGCAGGGGTGTTCCCCACTGTGGGGACAGGGGACATCATGGCAAGGTCAGATCTGGTGGCGGCCTCAAAGACCTCCCTGGGTAAGAGGGACTCTGTGACTTACGATGATGGCATCGCCCCACTGGGAGTGCTGGAGGACAGGGCAGGGACTCATCACCGCAATGACCATGTTGTAAGCACCAAAACATGTCCCTGCCATGGTGAGGATGCCCATCAGGGCCAGAGACCTGCAAGGGACATGCAAGTGACACTGGGGAACACTGCCTGCCTGTCCCTGGTGAATGGCACAGGCATGCAGCACATTCCAGCTCCTTGCTGGCTCCATCCTCCTTTCCTGGTGTGTCTGTACTGCCAGAGCATAGGCATCCCACAGACCATCTCCCACCCAGTGTCTTCTCCCCCAACCCTTGCAAAGCAGGGGCCATTCTTGGGGTAGAAACCCCTGGGACACACCCTGCTGCATCTCCCAGCACCCCACTACCCACCTGCTGGGCAGGAACATGGCCACGATGCAAGCAAGGGGGTTGGCCATATTGCTGAGTGTGGCTGACAGGTGGTAGGTGGTGTGGCCATAGGGCAGGCAGGAGTAGGACTGCACAGACGGCAAGACCCCGTTTGTCAGGGCGCTCACCCACGTGACTAGGAGGTAGATGAAGGTGAGCTTGGTCAGGGAGTAGGAGACCTTCTGAGGCAGGATGTCCCCAGGTTCCTTGGGATCCTTCGGGCATGAGCAGCCTGTGCTCAGCTGCGAGTCAGTTCCCTCATCAAGGTTGTAGTCAAATGAGTTCAGCACGATGCTGCTGGGAAACAGCTGCTGCTGGGAGAGATCCCACACCTTGGGCAGGCGGGTGAGGAAGAAGAAGGCCAGCAGGCACGTCAGCATCATTGCAGTCATGAGCAGGAAGAAGAGGAGGATAGAGAAGTTGGGTGGGAGGTAGTGAGTCTCCAGCTGGAAGATGGTGCTTTCCATAGTCTCGTTGCCAGTGGTGATGTTGACCTTGCGGCTGACGTTGGCACAGGAGGAGATACCGGAGCCCTGGCCCAGGGCAATGAGAGCAGGGATCAGCCCGCTGAGCCCTTCACCTATGAAGAAGGTGGTTGTGTACTGGGGCTGCAGCTGCATCATGAAGGGCAGGAAGGTGACAGAAGAGGTGCAGTCCACCAGGGCCAGGAAGAAGGTGAGGATCAGGAAGGCGATGCTGTGGGGCCTCCCAGCGATGAGGGATGTGTAGTTCCAGAGGAAAGCCAGGAGCAAGCAAGCTATGACACCCACAGACACGATAACGTAGATAACAGCCACCTCCTTCAGCAAACCAGATCGAAAGCGGTGCATGAGGGTGACAAAGAGCGGCCCCACATTGGCCATTTGGATGATGATGGTGATGTAGGAGGGCAGGTACCACTGCTCTGGCAGCACTGTCACCAGCAGTGGCACCTCCACCCACAGCCCATTGATGGCCATCCAGGAGCCCGTGCCGAAGGCACAGGCGAGGAGGTGGATGAGCAGTGCCATGGCTCAGGGCTGGGTGCCTAGGCCTGGAGGTGAAACTGCTGTGCTGCAAGGAGAGGATTTGATGAGTGGTGCAGTGACATCTGACCCCCACAGACCCCAACCCTGTCCTCCCATGATCACTGCCTCTGTTGGCAGGCAGGCAGAACAGCTTTCCTTCTGCATGCCATGGGGCTGTGGAACCCGCCGCCCAGCCCGACCCCCCTTTGCCTTCTGCAAACCCTGTGACCTCCCTGCCCCCTTCCAGTGATGACACTGTGCCCTCCTGCCCTGGGTGTGGAACCTGCTGGGTTCCACCTGGTCTCATCCCCGAGAAGTGGGGCTTGGCAGCAGCAGGTGCGGTACTCAGGAGGGCATTGAACTCACGGCTCACTTCGCAGCACAGCGCAGCCTGGAAGGGCTCGGCACAGCCCACTGGGGCTCGGCACAGCCTGGCACAGCGAAGAGGGCTGACACCTGGGGGCTGAGCAGTCTGGGCAGCCACTCTGCTGGGAACGGAGTGCTTGGACCTCCCACTGCATCTGCAGGGCAGGGCGACGCAGCATCCGTCTCCTCCCAGCCAGGTCCTTTGCGATCCCGGCACGCTCTGGCGGCCGCGAGAGAAGGGCCCCCAGCAGCCCAACCTGTGGCTCAGCCTTGGCTCGTACCAACCTGCTGAGTCAGCTGGCATCCGGGCACGTCCCCTGCCCGCTCCCATCCCGCTCCCGGGAAGGATTCTCACGTCCCATGTCCCATGTCCCCGCACCCCCGCAGAGCCGTCTCCAGCTCCCTCCCACGGCATTGAGCCTGCCAGAGGAAACTCACGTCTCACGGGACTGAGCCTAGTGGGTGCAAAAACCCACCCATAGCCCCGGCCCCGCGGGAAGG